ACAATGGTCGAGTGACAAGCGAAGGACCACGACGCTCGATGGATCTGCGCCCCCTTACTTCTTTTTTTTCATTCTACCCACTAAGGAAAATCGCGATTTACTTTTTGTCTCGCGTAGAGTGGCTGGCGATCCGAAGCGACGCGTCGGGGAAAACAATGAAACAACGATCGATTTCTCTTTCTTCGGTGATATCTTGGTAATTTTATTATGGTAGTTGATATGGTCGTAAGCTTTGTCGTGCAATTTATTTAAAAAAAAGAAAACTTCAAATCGGTATAATTCCGAAAATAACGATTTTATATCAACGAATGAGAAAAGATCGTAAGGAGAGAGAGAGAGAGAGAGAGAGAGGAGAAGTTCTTTCTTCTCCGCGGCGTGGAGAGCGCGTGACAAACAAATGCACCGCGTCAGCCCTGCGTGACACTCTTCTGCGTGGCTGGGTTGCCTCGAAAGGAGAGAGAGAGAGAGAACGAAGCAGGAGAGGATGGTTAAGGAGGAGAGGCAAGCCGAGGGCCAGACGACGAGGAGGGAGGATGAGAAGCGGGAGGATCGTAGAAGCCGTGCTCAAGTAGACAAGAGACACGTCATCCGCCATCCTTCTACTCAGCCTTTTATAGATTATTCACGTACAATGGTCGAGTGACAAGCGAAGGACCACGACGCTCGATGGATCTGCGCCCCCTTACTTCTTTTTTTTCATTCTACCCACTAAGGAAAATCGCGATTTACTTTTTGTCTCGCGTAGAGTGGCTGGCGATCCGAAGCGACGCGTCGGGGAAAACAATGAAACAACGATCGATTTCTCTTTCTTCGGTGATATCTTGGTAATTTTATTATGGTAGTTGATATGGTCGTAAGCTTTGTCGTGCAATTTATTTAAAAAAAAAGAAAACTTCAAATCGGTATAATTCCGAAAATAACGATTTTATATCAACGAATGAGAAAAGATCGTAAGAACTTTGTTCTTTAAAATTCTTTTCATCTCGATTCCTGCGCCGTCCATGGACACTTCGAATTCTTATATTCTCCGCGAGTGATAAAAGGAAAAATCAGGTAGTTTCCTATATTCTCTACATCGAATTTGACTTAGGAAAAAAAAAAAAACAATTTTCAATTTCTCCTCGTGTCTTTCACACGAGAAATTGTGAAGTCTTGACCGATTACAATCTCGTCTCTTTTTCGTTATGAAATTGTTGCTCTCGTTGTAACGCACGAAAAGATCAGTTTGCAATACGACGAGACACCAATACCGCATTCCGTCACGGTATCATCGTCACTTTACACAGAATCGAGGGAGGGAAACGGATGCGACGCGATATCAAATTATCGAGATCGATCGAATGTTCCGCCCGATGATATCGACGATTTCCGTTGCATCATCGTAAACACCGAAGTCCGCGGAATGAGCACGCATACGGGAGAAGGGAAACGTACATGTAAATACATGGCGGTGGCGGTCGGTGTTTTTTTTTTTTATTTTCTCCCCACTCCCTCCTCTTCCATCCCCCTCCCCCCGGTATCGTCGGTGTTTGGTGTTTTAATGTTGATTGGACGACTGCCGATTCAGCCTGCGTTCGTTTGCCACGATTGTTGTTTCCGCGGTCGAGCGGCCGAGAATTTTCAAAATTCTGCACCGCGCACATACACGTGGCCGGGAACACGTAGGCGGATAAATCGTCAGCAAAATTGCGAACGTGGATAGGTTTATTCCATTTCGAGGAGGGGTGTAATACGGTCCTCGAAAGGTACCGTGGTCCTCTTTCGAGGGGACAATGGGGGATCATAGTGATAATGCGGAGCGGAGGGGGAGGGCGCGGTTGTCGAGATACTTTATTTCACGTTTCATTGTAATTTTGATTATGCGTATGTGTGGCGCCGTTCGATTTTCAATTTTCCGTTGTGATCTTCGTGGTAGCGAGTAAGCAGAGAATCTGGATTTGAACGATATTTAAATAAATTTAATCATTGCTACGTTATTATTTCGCTACGGATAGTTGCTAAACGAATGTTAAATAATTTATAATTGTATTTAATACACGCGTAATAATAATGAGCCGTTATTTGCGTCGAACAGGATATAACGCAGCATTTATTTCGCTGACAAAATATAATCAATTTTGACAATTACATACTTCGATACGTTTCGAATATCCTCTCTCCTCTTCTTCTCCCCCCATGCCTCGAAATAACCCGTTTTATCACAGGAGATATTTATAATTCCGTTTAATTTTACCACCAAGAATTTATCTAACGATTCTAAATAAATCAAATTAATAATTTCTATCGTACACACCGTCACATTCTAGCGAAACAAAACCGTATGAATTGAAATCATCAATTTCAAACTGAATTTATTATATTACACACGGCATATACATCTCCTGGCAACTGTTTAATAATTTTTCACGCGATTTATTGTAATCGTAATGGAAAGATATACGGATTATCACGATTATATATTCCCGGCAATCATAATATTTCTACCTATTTTATCCCTTTAGGCATCTTTAACCTATAAATTTCATCTTTTCGCGAATCTACTTTATGCGTGTACGACTGGCGGCACAATAAATCCGTGAAAATTTAGAATACCTACACTCTGCTTCTCTGATAAATCGTTTTAACGAGGTCTGCTCTTGACTAGTGCAAATTTCACTACCACGCACGCACACACACACACACACACACACACACACACACATATATATATACTTTATTGCCGCTAATAGATTTATTGCTTGATAGGGGGACAGGTATACAATACATGTATATTGTTATTATAAGGAGGGATCTATAGTATAGCTATGAAGCTGTCATGTTGCAACTGCATGGTGAAGATACGTATATATATGTATGCGGTACAAGTCTAAGTAAACGCTTGAATATGGAAGCCAATTCGACTGTATTGTACACACACGAAAATTTTGATGGAGCAACATTTGCTTAAATAATCTCTTTAGTACGTCAACAGATTTTACGGGTTTATTTGGATTTCGAATGGAAATCATCCCCATTTGATAACGAATTTTCGTTCAATGAGAAATTACGTATTCTAATTATCTGATGTATAGAATATCGAACGATATTTCGCCTGTCATGTACATAAAATTTCCTATTCGATCAAATTACTTACAATGGATACTTCTCTTATCATCAGACGAATAATTTACATTGGCATTGTAAATTGTCTCGTGTCTGAAACACAAGTCTACGTCTTAATCGAACGAAACGCAATCTCTGTTTCGTTTTCTTTCCAGAATTATCTAATTAATGTATAATGAGAAATCTTCTCACTTTCATCCACTATTCATTAAATTTCGACGCTACGGGCGATATAAAATTTCAAACTGGTTACGATTTAAATGAATGAAAACTAAAGATATATAACGATTCTAGCCCCGGCATGGAAAACTTTATTTCGAACGAGCCGCGTAAATCAAGTTGTATACAGGGCGGCCGCTTAAGCGTGACATTCAATTCCGCAAACAAGCCGGAGAATCTGCCAATTTCGGCAATTCACGATACCGTATCCCGTGGCTCGTAAATCTCTGTAAACGAGGTACAAAAATGGTCGAAGTTCACGCGACACCAGTTCCAACTTTGCCCCATTCGAGTGTCTCGTTCTATATCGCGTGTGTTAAAGGTAGCCACGTGCATTCGGTTACTGTTTCAGGAAGCCGGCTGGCCGCCGACGAAGACGCTCGGCAAAGGAGCTCGAAATAAGGAAATTGTATCCATCAAAAATTCAATCTGCTCGAGGGCTCCTTGAGGTGAAAAAAAAAAAAAGAAAAAAGAATGAAAGAAAGAAAGAAAAAAAGAGAACGATACCGTTTCGTGGAATTCTCGAGACGCAGGATCAAAAGAAACTAAATGATATTGGCCGCCAGAAAAGAAAGAAAAGAGATTAAACTGTCTTTAATTTCGCGCGAATATATTTCGTGATAAAAGTATAAGATCGATAGTGTTTCTCGTTAAATTAAATTGAATCCCGAGATTGAACACTCGAGATACAATTTCATCTAAAACTCCTGAAAAAAAAAAAAGAAAGAAAGAAAAAAAACTATATATAATCCACTTTCTCTACACGCAAATACATCAATCTTTCAGAACGGAATGCATCGACCATATTTTCATCACGATACGCGTCCCCGCAAAAGTTTCAATCCTTCTAAAACTCGTATATAAAAAAAAAAAAAAAGAAAAAAGAAAAAGAAAGAAAAAGAAAAAAAAAGGAAGGAGGAAGCACGAAACGAAATTTACCACGGTGACAAACGACGACACTAGACGTCGAAAACAACGCTATATCCAATCTCGCCGCTATATCCCGCCTCCAAATTCTCCTCCTTTTCCTCCTCCTCCTCCTCTGGCGCGAGGAAAAACAGAAGAGCCGCGTGCGCCAGATTCTTAAAGGGAAGGAAAAGTATCCGCGGCGAGACGCAAGTTCGAATTGGCGCGTTCGCTTCCCGGAGCATGTGTGCCCCATAAATAACATGTAAATATTTTCAATAACTGCACACTCCAGCCCCCGGCATGAAAAATGCAAACCGCTTTCCCGTCGTTCTCTCGCGCCCCGTATGCCTCCTCCAATCCCGGCTACAAGCCACTCGAGATCGGCGACCACCACCCTCCACCATCCCCCTCGATACTCCTACGCCCTCCTCGGCAAACTATCTTTTAATATATCTGTATGTACACGGTGTCCCGCGCGAAATTTATGGCACCGGACGCCGCGCCGGCCGATATTTGTTTCACTCCAGAGTCGCAGCCCCCTCAACCCCCTCCTTGCTGCGGTCGTCTTGCGTGTCGCTTTGGGGGACGTAATAATTTCGAAGAATGAAAATGAAATAATTTTATTAACCTCTTGTTGCGTCGTGTAGGATGTATCATTTGGATTACGAAATAGATTGGATTCGATTCGTTTTCACAAATGTTTTCGCAAATCGTTGTGGAAAAGCGATCTACGCGAAATATCTAATCCGTGTTTCCTTCTCTGTTAACAGGGGCTTCGGATTCATCACGTTCGCAGATCCCGCGAGCGTGGACAAAGTGCTGGCACAGGGTAATCACGAGTTGGACGGCAAGAAAGTAAGTATTCGAAATTGTCGAAATTAACGAGAAACCAAGAACTTCTCGCGACGAAGCGTTTCTGTTAGAAATTCGTACCTCTGTAAACGTTTAGATCGAGCCTCGATGCGTACGAACATCTCCGTCCCGCTAAAATTTCCCGCTAATTCCGTCTAATTCGAAACAACGACAAGTCTAGACTTTTATCGTCGCCTGAAGCCAATTAGAAGAAGAACTGGTTGTATCACGCCGCTCTCGCGGCATAATTATCGAACGCATGGAAGTCGTTAAAAACGATCACGTCTTCGTGGTGGCGTTCCGTCGCGCGCTAATAGGGGATCGTTAGTTCGTCGTGCGATCAACGATCGCCTCGAGATCGTCTACTCGCTGTGAGACGCGCGTGTGCAATGAGCCACAAGGAGAGAGAAAGGTGGATAACGAGAGTTGAGAAAGAGCGTCGATCGGCTCGAAAACATCGAGAAAAATCGCGCGAGATCGAACGCGCGTCGATGAAAGCAATTAACCACCGTGGATTTCTTGATCAAGATAATTGATACAGCACGATCCAAGTTAATTGATCGCGTTGATAGATAAATATTGGACCCGTGCCTCGATTCCCGCGCCCGTCATTTGTCTCGATTTCATGGCGCAAGAAATTGATTGGTTATTGGAACCACGTCCCAGCAAGCATCGAGAACGGGGCAAACAAATTTTGCTCGCTTCTCGATGGAAATTCGAAGAAAATACGGAGAAAATTTATTAAACGTTGGAAGTTGTGCTCCGGGAAACGTCGAGAGTAAAGAAATTTGTAGGGGAGCGTTCTCTGTTTGATGAAAAGAATGCGTTTAGGAAGAGCGTGATTTGTGGTTTCGCATCGGCATTTTCAAATTAAAAAAAAAAAGAAGAAGAATAAATTACGTGTAATTATCGTACCACGCGTAAACGGATGGTTGAAGTAATTAGATTTTACGAAACTTTACCAACAACCGAACATTTTCACGTTAAACGACGAATTTTTGAACATAATCCTTATTATTCCCATTGAACATTTCGGTAATTTGTTTAAATTATCCGTCCCCGTAACGTAATAATAATAATCCGAACAAAACCATGCAAATTACCAGTATTAATGTCCAGTAAATTCATAAAGACACGCAATTATGCATAATACGTCCGACGTTTATAATACTCCAATCCGACGTCCACAATTTCATTCTGATTAAAACCAAAATTCCATTTTCACGACGTAATTATACCCCGTGCGTTCCTAAAGTCATTTACCATAAATATCTTCGAGTAGTCGCACTAATTTCGCACCGATATCGAAATTCCTTCTCGATTCTTAAAAAAAAAAAAAAAAATCTCCGAATCTCCTTGGAAAATTTCACATCGATTCTCGAATTCCTCCAAAATTCTCGACTCTCGAGATTCTTTCGAGTCGGTTCTCTCTCGGATCGAGAAGAAAAATTTTCAAAATTCTCGCAAGCGAAAACGGAATTGACGATGTCGAAGGGGGCGAAAGTTTCACCGGCTCGTTTCACGCGCGCTTAGACAATTACCAGCGACGAATCGGGGGACGGCACGCGTCGTTGCGCCGCCGCATTGACCGGAACGATGCTTTTGGCAGAGATTAATCGTGCCGCGCCGCGACGTGTCACCGTTTGCCAAATACATTTCTGCCCCTCAACTTCTCAGGAGACAATACCCTGGAATAATATCGCGGGGATAAGGGTTGAACACAGCGGCGGGGGAGGGGGGGAGGGAGAAGGACAGAGAGAAATAGTTGCGGACATTAGCTGTCCACAGGAGCATAAGTACGACGAGCGTGCCACCGTAAGTACTCCGAATACGTATTAACCGTGGTGGTCGGGCGCCGTTCCTCGCCGTTACCTACCAAGGCTATATCCACACTCACATAAATTTCGCGTAATTCGCTCGCCTAATGCAAATTGCGAGCGCTCCGCGCCGGTGTCTAACACCTCCTCGATAGGGAACGAGATAGGGATGTGCACGAGGAGACTAAACCCGCCGCATCCTATTAAGCCTTATTCCCTTGCCCGCTTCGTCTCTTTATCCCCTGTCGCCTTTCCTCTCGAGCTTTTCACGAAATTTTTAAGAGATTCCATAAGGAATCTTGCTTGGACAGGGATGAATTGTGAGGGATGGAGGATCGGTGATTTCGTTAAGAGAAACGAGACGAGAAAGGAAAGTGACGTGTACGTACGGTATTTTTAATAAATTATAGCCGATTGAGTAAAGATATAAGAAGGAGAATGAATTTATCCTTCTTATTTTCGAGCGTATGTTAACCCGTTCCTTTTCATTCATCGTGAACACAGCCTTGGTCGATTTTCCTAAATCCGTCTAAACGAACACGGATCGAAAGCGGATCTATCCATCGATTTGTCTTCATCCTCTTCCTCTTCCCCACCCTCCCGTTCGTCATCCTTCACACGGGGTGGAAGACGGGAGAAGCGAAGGGGGGAGGGGAAGAAGAGGCCGCGCCGCTCTCGTCCACTGACAAGCTTCGTCACATTAATTAGCGGATCGTTCGTCTCCGGCCGCGTTAATGAACGCTCTCGTGTAATTCTGAAGAGGTCCTTGGCCCGCGTTGTTCGCGGGGAGAAAATAAACGAAACAAAGAAGCGGGGGCGAGGGGCAGGCGGCGGGCCGGAAGTCGCGACGACGACGGATCGTACGCGTGTCGGAAACGGCGCGTGTCATCGAGCCGGATGAAAATTCGTCGCCCCCGCGAGGAAGGGGCTGCTACTCGATCATTTTTCGATTATTCAGCTCGCCGATTTTCATCCGTTTTGTTGATATCGCAGTCTTTCTTCGTCGTCGCCCGTTTCTTATTATCCTCTCTCGCTTCTCTCTGAATTATAAAAATGATGAAGCATGTGAGCGAGGATTCATTGGAATTTGGTTTGTTAAATAAATCGAAAGACGAATCGTTCGAATTGCAGTGAATAATTGTAGTTATTGAAGTATGAAGAAATTTTAATTTGAGGAACAATTAGATATATTTGTTTCTATTTCTCTCTCTATATATATATCTCTCTCTCTCTATTTTTCTATCTTCTGCACACAAGCCTGCCAATACAAGGATCGATCTTTCTAAAGTTAATTCTTGGTCCATTTAAAATAATAGTATTTTTTTATTCATGAATTTTATTTCACCTCTGTTCACCGTTATTAATTTTACGCTCTAGTTTCGTTCAGTTTGCAATAAGCGAAAGATTCCTTTATCGCCGAATGAAAAACCTTTGCGTGAAACTGGGACGAGAAATCGCGGATATTAACAAAGGGGTAGTCTTTTAATCTTAAAAAAAAATTTGTTACCGATAGTAGAACGGTAGCAAAAAATCGAATCACTGTATTTCCAATTCTTCCTTAACCTTTTTTCCCTTCGCGAATTTCAAGAGACAAGTTTCCCGTCTCTCCGAAAATTCCCAATTTTTCAATCTGCCGATGAAAAAAAGGGGGGAGAGGGGGAAGAAAGAAAAGAAAAAACGTAACCACGTTACGTTCGAGCCATTTCCACCAGCCATCCCGACCAGTTTCGCCGAATTAACGCGATTCAATGGGCGCCGAATGATAAACGATGATCCATCGAATTATCACGGGCGAGCAGAAGAAGATACAGCGGCGCGCATCGGTCGGCAGACATTTTTGTCGTCCGATTTCGGGGTGGGTGCGTGTCACTGGCAGGGCCGTTTAATATTATCGAAAATCAGTGGGACGCACGAGCGATTCTGCGAATCGATGCCAGATCGTGTTCCTCTCTATTTGCCCCGGGACGCACAATGATTTCGCAAGCTGCCGCGTAAGCACCCGCACCAACGAGATGCCTACGGCCGATCAGAATGGCCGTTAGATTGCGCTTAATCGCGGTCGATTCCTGATTAAAAAGAATCGCGCACCCTCATTTGTCTCTCACGTTTAATCCATCAACAATAGTTACAAATCAATCGAAATACTGCATACGCGTGAAAATGACACGAGCAATTTTTATTTATCTATTTTTCTCTTTTTTCTTTTTTTTTTTATTTATTGATGATATTGTTCCTTTTTTTTTCTTTTTTTGTTATTATTTATCGCGTGTATCGTGAATATTCTGTGCCTTCCTCCATTTTTTTTATTGGGTAATTTTTTTTTTTTTTATTTTTCAAAAGGTGTGCTTTTTACGGTACCATTTTTCGTGGCGCCAATCGGAAATACTATTTTTGAAAGTGCCTGAATCGCATTCGATGCTTTATATTCACCAGTTTCTATCCTATAAATTACCTTTGAATCGTGTTTATAATCTATACAATAGTTTTTGTGATCGTAGAAATAAATTGTATTAATGTAGAAATATCGTATCGAGGATTTATCATTTTTTACTCTCTGTTTCATATCCAAAGTTGAGAGTAAAATTCTTTAACAATCCTCTTCATCGTTCGAAACTCATCATCGAAAACTCGAACGATCATTTATATCTATATAAACAACGTGTTGAAACAAAAATTTCCACGTAGAATTTCCGAATCTCGAGCGAACTTTTAATGCAAAAAAGACCCGTATTTTACGCGCTAAAACCGAGAAAGACACCGAGAGCGAAATAGAATGTCGTGTTCAACCCGACCTAGGATCTTGCAAAGGGTTAAACTCGAGAAATTGCACTGTCACGGAAGTCTGCCGTGTAATATACAGTTTCCCTGATTCTGAATATTAGTTTTTGTTGATGCACGGTTCAAACGAATGTTACTGAAAACGATCCTTTTTCCAGATTCCATCTTCATCCCATCGTCTCGTGATACGAATATCCCGTGATACACGTGACGATACGTGCAATTAGATTTGTTACTACGAAATGAGCTTCGAGGAAGGGAAACGGCGGCTGCCCCCTTGTATATGCGGAAAAGTGTGTGACGACACGTGTAGAGTGTCACGAATGAACTCGTCGTGTCACGTGTCATGTTCTTCCCGTGTCTCAACCCGATACTCAAACGCGATTATTGCCTACATTATATTCCGCG